TAGTTTATTTATTTTGCTTGCATGAAGTTAAAATATGTTGATAATTAAGGTGATAAAGAAAATTTCTATCACTATAAAAAATGGTTGCATTATTGTAATTAAACTTATGCCTTTAATTATATTGCCTTAAGTTTCTGACAAAAAAGGAATCTGCCTCTATTACTAAAACACAATTATTTATTTTATCTTATTCAGTCAATTAAGCTAACGAAACCAGAAAATAAATCATCTTAAAATTTCAAGATTTTATAATACTATTACATAGGTTAATTTTCCACCAGTAATCAGTGTGGCTATTTCATGTTCAAGAACTAATCCACTCTTTGGGGACTATTCAGAAGCCCAAACCTCTAAAAATATTTCAGCATTATATTCTTCCTTTAGCCTTTCCAAATCAAAAGTTCAGTCTAATCTTCATGGAAAATTTAAATAAAACCATATATGAAGGTATTTGTAATATTAAGTTTTCAAATCACAAAGAGAATTGACAGTGACTACATTCTCTCCAAATATACTTCTTCTATTAAACTGTAGTGTTTCTAATATCCCTCTGTAGAAAAAATTTATTTTTTAGTCTTGATTTTAAAATCACAGTTCTCTCTTTTAAAAAGTGTGAAGTGTTATTGTCAATCACATTACTTATGCAAAGTGCATGGATATGAACTTTCCTATGGGCTTCAAGATTAGATTCATTTCACTCAGTATGCTAATTCCCAGTATAACATTCTCCCTCGGACGACAGATTTTCTTTCCTAATATTTTATCTCTGTGCTAGATATGTGAATTCTTGGTCAGTGGAATGTACAAAATTTTCCTATTGTTTGGCTTTCCTTTAAATTTCCTTTGGTTATCTTTTTTGAGCTATACTTATTTTTATGCACAAAGTATCATATTAAAGCCACATTTTAAATTTGACTTTTGTCTAGTTCAAAATATGATTTCTCTCAGCACCATCTCTTTCTACACTTTGCAGGGTTCTTCCTTATGTTATTTGATTTGCAGTTTGGTATGATTTGAATGTTAGTGGCCCCCCCCACACCTCCCCAAAAATTCTTATGTTGAAATCCCAATTCCCAAAGATGAGAATAATAGGAGGTGGGACCTTTGGAAGTGATTAGATCATGAGGGTGAGGCCCTCACCAATTAAATTAGTGTCTTATGTGATACTCCACAGAAATCCCCAATATCTTCCAGAAGAGGGGACACAGTGAGAAGGAGTTGGCTATGAACCAGGAAGAGAGCCATCACCAGAATGTGGCACCTTTATCTCGGGCTTCTCACCCTCCAAAACTTTGAGGAAAAAATTCTGTTCGTTTTAAGCCACCCAGCCTATTGTATTCTTTACTGCAGTCTGAACAGACTTAAGTGTGAAGGTATCTTAAGTGTGAAGGTATCCCTACCTCAATTATCCAGTATGCCTACACTAACTTTCTTCAGCTTTGTTTAAATGATTAGAGAACTCCAAGTTACTGAGTTTAAAATAAAGATTACTGCCAAAACCAGTTTGGCTTAGTGGATAGAGCGTCGGCCTGTGGACTGAAGGGTCCTGGGTTTGATTCCGGTCAAGGGCATGTACCTTGGTTGCGGGCACATCTCTAGTAGGGGGTGTGGAGGCAGCTGATCAATGTTTCTTTCTCATCAATGTTTCTAACTCTCTATTCCTCTCCCTTCTCTCTGTAAAAACTCAATTAAAAATAATAAAATAAAATAAAGATTACCACTGTAGCCATTTTAGTCAGAAGGGACTAAACTATAATTACTCATCTCACTTTTTTTCCTCTCTGCTCTGCAGCTATCTGAAAATGTTTTATTGTCAACAAGACAAAACAAAACAAAACAAAACAAAAAACACCCCAAACAAACCCAAAAGCTTTATTTTCCACTATTTCCAAATCAATATTTATATTTTCGCTTTGCCCTTTTATTCAAAAAAAGGTTATTTTCAGTCAGTCTTGCAAAAGTGACCAGTAATTTTTAGAAATGGTGCTACCATTTCCTTTCAATTTTATGCAAGTTCAGATTAAGATGAGGAGAAAGACCAGCCAATGTTGTTAAGAGTATCAAGTGCAACCATTGTTCCCAGTGTATCACCACGAATCCTCATGATAACTTTGGTGTTTCAGATATACTCACAGTACAACCCCCTCACCAGAACAAGTAGGGTGTTAATTAGATCAGGAAACAGGGTTGGTGTGTGGGACACCGGTTTTCATTTTCTTGTTTGAACCCTGAACCCTAGTTCCCAAACACAACCCTCTGCTCCACTGAGAGGAGAAAGGAGGGACCCTCAAAACAGTGGAACTGCCCCACTTAGTTCTGCTAGATGGGAAATCTGAAATAAAACTTCAAGTTGGTTTAGAATTCAGGTCTCTAAATTTTAGCAGCGTCAGGATCATGAGGATCACAGATTGCCAGGCTCCACCCCCAGACTTTTTGATGTAGAAGGTCTGGAGCAATGCCCAGAGAATTTGCATTTCTATTTAGTCCGAGGTTATGCAGCCCATGCGTTATAGAGAAGTGGTGCATCTCCCATACCTGAATTTGTAGACCTGCTATAGTCATTTGGGGATGGGTTGTGGGCAGCTTTAAATGTCAGATTCAGAAGGTTTCTGAAGACCTAAGAGATTCAATGATGGGGATTTTACACAATTCCTAGGGCTCTTGTACAAGGTAAATTAGACACCACCTGTAAAATGTATCTTTGATATTTAGCCCCAATTGCTTCTTAAGTCTGTGATGTTCAGACATCCTCTGGAGTCATGGCCATGTCCTATCTCTTGCAAGACCTGGTCTAAGCCTTTCTCCTCTCCCTGCCACATCCAGCTCCCATCAGTGTGGGAGTGTGCAGAGAGTGTGCTTCTGATCTCAATGAGAAAATAGAGGCCTGCTCTTATTCTCCACTTCCCCTCCACTTCCACTTAGCTAAACCTATACTTAGTCTTTCCTCCAGTCTTAGCTGTGTCCTACCTCTTTTCCCCATCCCAACCCCACATGGACACCTGATATCACCTTTCTCAACTTTTCAAACCACCCACTATCAATCTACAATTTTCATTGGCTCCTTCTCTGCAGGCCATCAACATGCTCATGTTTCTCCAAAAGTATAATAACCAAATCCTTCCTTGGCCTAGTTGTCCCTGCCAGCCATGCTCTATCTCCTTCCATTCACAGCTCAGTGACTGAATGAGGAGTCTGTATTTTCTGTGCCTGCTGTCTTCCCTTCTCACTCCACAAAGACAAAGCTGCAATCTGTCCCTACTGTCCCATTGAAGATTCTCACTGAGGTCAATGCCACCTTCCTCTTGTCCTTCCAATCAGTGTAATCCTTCCAAACCTGCAGCATCAGTAGCTCCAAGACTGTGCCCTGGTCCTCTTCAAATTCACATTCTACTCATAATTTTCTCCCTTGGACTAACTATATGCTGATCACTGTCATAACTATATTTTTTTAACTCATTCTTGCCCCTGAGCTCCAATATTTTTTTATTATCTTTTAGGAATTTCCAGACATGCTCATTTTCTACCCCCATTTCAGCCTCCTCCTCCTCCTTCTGCTTCTCCTCTTCCTCCTTTATTTCCTATTTCCATCACTGGCACCACCCTTCCTTCACTCACATGCCTAAGGCAGAAATATCAGAATTGTCATTGATTCTCCTCACAAATCAAATGAATTGGTCACCATATCCACTGGATTCTTTCAGACCTGTGTTCTCTATTTAAGCCACGCCCCCACCCCTGCCACTGCCAAAATTCTGGTTCTTACCTGGATGGTCAAACCAGCTTTATAACTGGAATTCTTGTCTCTAGGCTGTTTTTCATACAGTTAGAAGACAATTTTGTCCTCTTTACATAGTTCTTCTCCATGTACCCATGAAGTATAAACAAAAAGAATCCCAATTTTTCTATTTCTTGAGCTGTTAATTGTAAATTCCCTTTTCTAGTTTTCCTTTTCCTGTTTGTTTCCTAAATATTCCTCTTTCTCTGAATTGTGTCTTAGCATTTCTTTTAAAATCCACTCTTTGGAGTGTACTAATCACTGCTATTCTGGCCGCAAATAAGTGCATGCCTACAATCCAGTACACTCTCTCTGCTTCTGTCCAAACTGCCTGCTGAAGACGGCAAACTGTGCCCAGGCGCCTTAACTTCCTACCACACAACGGTCTTCCCTGGCATGCCCTTGCTGATGTTCTCCATCGCAGTGAATGCTGCCACAAATCTCCAGCTGCCCAGTCATACACCTGGGTTTTGTCTTGACTTCCTCTCTCACCTTCTTTGTATCAAAATCAATTGCCAGCTTTTGTGACTTCTATCTCTTAAATGGTTCTGACATCCACCTATTTCTCTGCATCTCAAACTACTGATCTAAGCCACTGTCCTCCCTGCAAAATTACTGCAGTTACCTCCTACGTGGTTTTTCCTTTATCATGCCCCCAAACATGGTCTGAGTTAGCTTTGAAAACACAATAATATAGTGCCATTTACTAGCTTTAGTCCAAAGACTGAAACACAAAAACCCCAAATATAAAAAACAAAACCAAGTCCCAAGTCATATTATTTCCATAGGTGAAATATGTATGTAATGAAGGCTACAAAGCTTAGGACAATCAACACTGAACTGACAGCAGGGCTTACCTCTGGGGAGAAGGGTGGGATGATAAGCAATGAAGGGGGTGTCACGCTAGTAGATGGGATTAGTGTTGCTAAAGGAGAACTTCCATTTTTATCATTATTAGAATTGTTTAAATTTTTTACAATGAGAGTGTTTTCTGTACTGTATTATTTATCTATTTCAAAATAAATAAAATAGACCAAGGAAAGGAGCCTTGAGGCAGACGGGGCTCATTAGCAAGTTGTACAAATTCCAGTGCCATGCCGTCACCTGGAAGGGACCTCTGATTCCCTACACCTTTGTGCCCCTCCCCACCCCCCAATCCCGGGGAGCAAAAAATTGTCCTCTGCATCTCTGTGTTACCTGAGAATTTCACTCCAGGAATTCTTACCTTCGTGGTCCACAGTTTGACAGTCCAGTCAAAGGATGACGTGACAAACAGGTGTGAAAAGTCCACGGGGCCCACTGCCATGTGGCAGTTAATTCCCGTCACTGGCCCTTGGTGTCCTTCGAAGACCTCCCCAATACCTGCTTTGCTGCATGAAAAACCGCACATGAGCAGAGCGTCAGGGATCTTTGCAAGATTAAGATTACTTTAAAAAACGAGTTTGTCTCTGCATGACTACTTCCCCAAGATTTACACCACCAAAGTGAAACCACTTTCACAGTTATGTTGAGAGAAAGAAAATACTAAACTACTTTTGGTAATTAAAAACAAAAAACAAAAAACAATAGCATGCAATGTAATATTTTTCACCTTCAGAATGTAAGATAAAATGATTTCCAGGCCCCTCCTCTATCACACTCTAGTCTGCACACAATTATACCCAATGAGAAAATATAGCAAAGTGCTGTACCTTAGAAACCCATGTGCTGTGGCAAATACGTAAGTATTGTAGAATCTAAATATGATGTCACTGAGAGTGAAAATGAACTGAGTTATTAAACCATTTGGGCTTCTGGAGCAGCAATAAACGTCAATGTGCTGAGCAAAATGTGCAATCACCAGCCAAGTGCTGCAGCGTGTGGCCCTGCAACAAACACCAAACTGCCCAGCGACACTGCCAACAGCAGTTCCCACGTGACCCTTTATGCATGTGACTCTTTATATCTGTGCTAACTAACAGGAGGAGGAGCTGATCTTTGAAGTGGCCCCTGGAGAGGCTCCACTTGCCCTTAACAGCATCCTGAAAGGGTTTATAGGGTGCAAACTGAGGACTTGGTTTAATTTATGGAAGTAGATTTGCACCTTCTCTGAGTTAGGCCAGAAACAGAAATCCCCCACCCCCCCTTCCCTGCAGCCCTCTATGACCCATTAAAAATTACTACAAAGCCAAATGCCTGCTACTTTATAACTTCATGCAGAGCTGTGCCTTCTATTTCAGATGGATGGGCCAGTATAGAGCTTAATCAAAGGTGCTGTAAAAAGATAAGTGGTGTATCTCACAGACACCCTTTTTGTTTTGAACTACAGTACATATTCTGTTTGTGCTCGGAAAGCACAGTAGCCACAGGACAAGAATAGTCATCGTGGGAAAGGTTACTCACATTGCAGAATCCAACAAATAAATCTGCAAGTTATCAATGAACAGGCTCTGCAGCCTTCACAGATAATTAAGGTCCTGGATGAAGTCAATGGAGCCTATGCCCTGTTGATGGTAATAAATGTTCAGCTGAAGCTACGACTTCTGTTTGGCTCACTGCTCTATCGTGCCTCTCACATGCCTCCTGTGACACTTTACCTGTATTGCAGAGGGTTGTGTATTTACCTTGCCCACTGTCATCAATTTCTTGAAGCTAGGAGCCAGGTTTAAAGGATGCTTGCACAACCAGCAGTATCTAGCAGTGCACTCTGCTCAAAGGAGGTGTGCAGTGAATGTTTGCATGAATGTACAACTTTATCAGATCTTTTTATGCCTTGATAAGACTTTCATGCATGGTTTTAGCCAGTTTTGATGATGTAGGACCATTCGACATGGAACCAGGAGGCAGATCTTCCCAGTCATCTTTAAACCATGTGAGCAAGGCAAATCTGCTTGTTACTAAGTGCAGAACAGTAGGAACATCACAGCTCATATTGTGTAAATGGAAAAACCACAAAGCTGAGCCATGGATGCTTGTTACTTCTGCAAATCACACAAACACAGGAGTATGAACTTGGAACAGTTTGTGGTTCCTCATTACGTCTAAGTAGACAAGGATGAGTGCAAGAGATGAAAAAATCACTCGAATTAGAACAAAAGTGAGAGAAATTGTGCACCAAGGTGAAAACAGTGAACCTTTCAAAAGATATGAGGCTACTCATTAAGTCTTGCATGCAATTTTACAATCTATAATAGTCTAAATTACTGGATTCCACTTACCTGATGGCTTTCCAGGGGGCATTGGACAATCTCTCAATCAAGACAGAGTTTTTAGCACCTGGAAACGTCATAGTGGTTTATGTATCTCATATTATTCTAGCCTCTGTGACTAGAGGAAACGGCCCTAGGGCACTGCTCTATAGTAGTAGGATATTGCCATTTCTTTATTCCCCATTTACATTTTTAGTTCCCTACTTTAGTATATGCCAGGCACCAGGCAGGGAATTGATGATGAAATCAAAATAGTGTAGTAAGATAAAAATGGCAAATGAATGAGTAATTGAAATAAAATGAGATTAATATTATTGTAGAAGCAAACATAAAAATATATAAAACTAGCCGAAACCGGTTTAGCTCAGTAGTAGAGCATCGGTCTGCGGACTGAAAGGTCCCAGGTTCGATTCCAGTCAAGGGCATGTACATTGGCTGTGGGCACATCCCCAGTGGGAGATGTGTGGGAGGCGGCTGGTTGATGTTTCTCTCTCATCGACGTTTCTGGCTCTCTCCCTCCCTTCCTCTCTGGAAAAAATCAATAATATATATATATATATATATATATATATATATATTACAAATAACAAAAAAATATATATAAAAGTAGTGGCTGGAGGCACAAAATCATGCCTGGGAGTGAGTCCCCTCAGCTTAGCCTGCACCCTCCAATCCGGGACCCCTCAGGGGATGTCTGACTGCTGATTTAGGCCTGATTCCTGACATCCCTCTCATAAGATGAACCGCTGGCTCCTAACCTCTATCTGACAGCCTCTAGTCCTATCCCATTTATTCTACTTTCATTTCTCCATAGTGCATAGCATCTTAAATCTTATATTTACTTGTTTATTGTCTTTCAAGCTCAGTCAGAATATGAACTCCACATCTGTTTTGTTCCTTATGATGGTAGGTGATTAACAAATATTCCTTGAAGGAATGAATAAATAAAGGAATGAAAATTCTATGGAAACAAAAAGGAGGGAATAGTTTCCTTTGCCCAAAAGAGTTTGGAGAAAATTTCATGAGGCATGAGCTCTATGCTGGCTCTGGAAAAATGAGGAGGAATTATCCAGGCCAATAGGAGAGACACACCAGTCCGATAGGAAGAAATTGAATGTACAAACTCATGGACTCTTATCCCTACTGGGTGCGTGGCTGGAGCTGAAGGCTGAACCTGGAAATGAGCAGGGAGTCCGGATCTTACATGGTTTGCTGAGAAGCTGGGGACTTTTTCCTCAAGGCAGCATGAGCCATCAAAAGCTTACAAAAGGCTAATGACCAGAGCACATGGATGCCATACAATCCTCAAGACTTGAGGTGGGGCTTGCATCTCTTCAGAAATACCTCACTCAGAATGCAAGGTGGTTACAACCCAGAAAGTGATCACAGACTCTCTCGGAAATGAGGCACACATCATTGGTAAGCAAACAAAATCACCTTCCGTGACGACAGGCTGTGTAGACCGTACCCTCCTCGCTGCCAACCACAAAGTTATTGACGTCTCCCGTCGGGAAAGCCATTCCGGTAACAGCCACAGGCTTGGACTTATTGTACACCAGCTCCATGCTCTCCTACCAAAACACGACGCGGTTACATTCCCTCTGTCAGCCCCTCGCCATGCCAAAGACAGCACGGAAAAATCATTTGGCCAAATCGTCTGTTTGCTTTTCACGCAGCGTTACAAAAGACCCTGGCTGTGCCAGAAGCCCCACCGCGGGCTTCTGTGTGTCTCTGGTTTCAGGCGGCTGCGTTTCATCAGCGCGGCTGCTGCTGAAGTCGGGCAGAGATGACAGGTGAGAGTTTTGAAACTAATGGTGCAGAAACTAAAGATAATACTGTAATGGTTACACTTGTCAGCCCCAGGCTTTAATAAAACACACAATACCCTTGTATTTACAAACATTTTCAAAATCAATTGTTCCTGAGACGACGCATGTATTAATATCAGATGTACTCCAGCCCATTTGTCAAAGCCAAGTGTGTGTCCTCCACCGACTGAAACCAGAAAGTTGTCACTCAGGTCAGGAAAAAGCAGATTGCCACCGGGACTAGACTTCCTCCAGGGTGGCCACTGGGTGCACAGGCTAGAAGCCCGCGAAGAACAGTCTTTACATAAGGGTTTAAAGTAGTAAGCCAGAGTCTCTATTTAATCTAAAATTATTATTTTTTTAAATAGGGACCTAAAGTGCATTTTAAAACACATTCTGCTGAACCAAGTATAATGACAGGGAAGAGTAATTGTGACTAATACCCATGAATGTTTTTGCTATTTATATCAAATACCCTGTTTCCCCGAAAATAAAACAATGTCTTATATTAATTTTTGCTCCCAAAGATGTTCTAGGTCTTATTTTCAGGGGATGTCTTATTTTTCCATGAAGAAAAATACGGTACACATTTATTGTTAAATGAAAATAAAGGAAATTTATTACCTGTATATGGTACGATAGTACGGTAGTTGTCAACACAAACCAGACAAACTGTGAATCCTACAGTATCAAGAATTTACTCATTTACTCAATGACAATCATGTCATCATCTTCTGGAACATGTTCATAACAATCCAATTCCTGAATTTCCTGGTAAATTTCTTGTGATTCCATTTCTTTCAGAATCAGTGGACCAAATCTCTCATGTTTAGCCTAGGGGGGGGCCTTATTTTCAGGGGGATGCCTTATATTTCACTCAGAAAGAAACCTGTAAGTAGTTCTTATTTTCGGAGGATGTCTTATTTTCGGGGAAACATGGTAGCCTACTATGTGCACATGAAGTAATTTAAAACCAAATCATTCTAAGGCAGTGGTTGGCAAACTCATTTAGTCAACAGAGCCAAATATCAACAGTACAATGATTGAAATATCTTCTGAGAGCCAAATTTTTTAAACTTAAACTTCTTCTAACATCACTTCTTCAAAATAGACTCGTCCAGGCCATGGTATTTTGTGGGAGAGCCACACTTGAGCATGTGGCTCAAGAGCCACAGTTTGCTGACCACGATTCTAGGGGATCATGTTATTATAGCTGCTTGTGAATTTAGTCCTCTAAAAACAAAAAACAAAAAAACAAAAAAAAAGTAAATCATATGAGCTCAGCCAAGGAGTCCATAAATGCGAAGCGCATGCTCAGAGTCTGGGCAGCACAGACCAGGTGCTCACACGACATGCTCCCAATACTGAGATCCGCAGGGTAAGTGCATCAGTGAGGGGACCCTGGGACAACATAGAGCAGGAAACGGGACCATCCAATGGTGTGCTGCATCGACAAAAGTAGCGGCAGGGAAGGGACAGTCTCTTGGTCTCCCACTTGAGACAGAGAGGGACCAGGCCTCCAAGAGAGTGTCATGCATGAAACCCTCAATCTGTGTATGGAGCCAGGAGTACGTCACTGGTAAGAAAACCATGCAGGCATGCTAGAACTAACAAAAACGGTCTTGTAGCCCCTGCACCACTGGTTTTAACCAAAACAAATGCATGTTTAATCAGCAAAATCGGCAATTAAAAATTCCTAATTAGAGAGCTGGCTCTTGTATCTGTTTACAATCTCCATGCTTTTAAAAGAGCATATTGAGAATTTTAAGACAAAGCCATAAAATACCCACCCACACACAACTCCCGACTTCCATAATGTTCAAGTCAGCAAAAATAGAGTAACTTAAACTATAAGATGCTTATTAGCTCCCCTCTCCCCAAAAAGTTATTAAAAAACTTATTTAGCCTTTACATTCTCTACATCTGTATTTCGTGGAGACTTCTGGGGAGGGTCTTTATAGTTTCTACATTTCCTTATGTATCTTGAAACGTCCATGTTTTCTAAAACTGCGGGAGAGAGATTCTTGGGTCATTCATTGTTCCAGAAAAGGGAATAGGAATATTGAAATGGAGAATCATCTCTTAGTTCTTTTACAATTTTCTTCATGTTTCCTCACTTTTTTTTTATTTTTTAATTTTTTTTGGTCAAAGGCTATGGCAATAAATTCTTCTCTGTGATTTTTAGCTGGAAGAGAGTTACTTTTCCCCCACAAAGAAATGTGAAAAAAAAAAGTGTGTGTACATATTTGTGTGTGTGTGTAGGTAGTGTTTTCCTGAGTTTATGCATACATGCATATATTCTGAATGTTGCATTCAGAAGCCTCCACCCATGCGTCTCTTGCCTTCTATTCCTTTGTTTTATTCCCACCACTCTAATCAGCAGTGGTCTGAAACCTTTGGAACTGTTTCATTTTTGACTTCTCGTTCATTGAGCAAGGAATGGTAGCAGCCATACTAACAACATTCCAGAGGAGAAAACAGATGGTTTGACAAATTCTTTATACACACAGGCAGACGTCTGGGCAATGAATACAAGGAAGGGCCTGGGTGTCTGTTTTGCCAGGATGCCTCTTCTCAGAGGGATTGCTCTGTAGATTGAGCTCCCGCCTCCTTTGCATCTGTTTCACAATCCCGTAGGGTAGGTACAATGCATACCACGGGCAACTTCTATAATTACTACGCTTCAAAATGGATTATTTCATTTTCACTTGAAACTGACCTACGGATTAACGTCTTACAATAATTACATGATTTGTGGTAAAGGAAATGGGTTTTGGCTTCAAGAGGAGACTGCTGAAAGCAGGCCCTATGCTTTCAAGTGCATCCATTGGTTTTAGCTATTATAGGATGTGGGGGTTTGGCTTTTAGGAACTGTGTTCCATTAGGCAGGCATCTCTTTTAACCAGGATGCTCTTCTGTGTAAGGGAAAACAAACCCACCTGTGGCGTCGAGAGCATATCCAGGCTCCAGGAACACATTTTACCATCAGTAGAGACGGTGATGAGGTTATGAGCATTCTGGGTCCCAACAACATTTACACAGTACACGGGATGCTGCGAAAACGTAAACATGGAGGATCAGACACCGATCCAGGAGGAAATGCTTACATTGGAGTGCTAAACACATGACTCTAAAACAAGGATTAAAGAAGGACATAATCCTACAATAACACAAGCCTCAGGTCATTTGCCACTTTTGATTTGAACCTGATTTCTTTCTAAAAGCCCTGGCAGCAATACACAGTATTGGAAACGCAAAACTTCCCTGGGCTCAGTCAGCTGCAGTGCAATAGAGCTGAAGGAAGCCACATAGAGCAAGTGAGGGTTGGCGGGTAGAAGCCATGCAGGGAGGTGAATCTGGATTGCTTGAATGAGTCTCTGCTGCACAGCTTGGCTTCTGAGCTCACCAAGAGTGATGGAAAAAGCCAGTTTTCAAAAGGGGAGAACTATTGGCTTTTGGAAGGAATATGTGTTACTAAATCTGGAATTGAAGGCATTACATTGTGCCAAACATTTGTTAAAATTCTTTATACAAACTGGTTAATATTCATCAGCCTTTTTAATTTGAGGGAGAGACCTTGGTAGTGAAAACCATTGGCACAATGTACCTCATGAGATAAAATTAGGTTCTTTTATGTTACTGCAAAATCTAAGAAAATGGTAGATTTATTTTTCAAAACATCATTTGCCAAAGTATGGAGGCTTAGATTTAGCCAGGACCTTGAAAAAGGTCACATATACACCCAGGAGTCCTAAGAAAGAGGCTCTCTAACCTTTTGTCATAACTCTAGTAGGTTATCCCACTCTGTAGAATTCTAAACAGTAGCCTAAAATCATTTGCAGATGCACATTAAATACTAAATGGAAGGTTAGTCTGAGCAGAACCTAGCAGCAATTTCGGTTAGATTTCAAGCAGCTTAGCCATCAGTGGCCAAACCACAGCTTAGTTGATGCTTCTCTGTGCAAACAGCTGACAGTCTAAGTCTTATTCTTGATGAGTTATTGTCCATTATACCTAGCCACAATGACAATGAAACAATCTTTAATATTGGAAAGTTGATATTATATAAAGAACGGTTCCCAGGCTGTTATTATCATATAAACTCCTGGTCAGAAAGGACCACAATAATCATTTAGGCCAGCTGCTCATCTGCCTTTAGCAAGCAGTGGTCCAAATTCTGCCTAAACACCTTTCTTCAGGGTAGTTAGTGTTAGCACCTAATTCCTTCCACCAATGGAGCAAAGAAAGCTCAAAGAGATATTTTCAGTACGGTGCCTTCTGGGATTATATTGGTCAAGTCAAAACAATATTTAGTTTGTTATCATGCCCTCCTCCCTCAGTCTTGTCTTACTTAGATTAATCATCACCAATTCTTTCAACTGTTGCTTGAGTACTAGTTTTCAATACCTTCCCCTTCCTGGTCACAGTCTTTTGAATATGCTGTATTTTGTTTGAGTTCCCCTCAACATTGGAGTTGTGTGGGGGGAAAAAAATCTACCCATACTCTGATAGAGAGAATCTAGAAATTCAGGGAGTGCTGAATTGTCACTTCTCATGTGATTAAAAAATACGCCTGTATTAATGCATCTTAAGATTATATTTGCTGCTGTGGCGATCACATCATTTCTTTTACCCAGTTGATGAACAGTCAACTAAGTCTCTATGCCTTTTCCACACCATATACCTACAGAAACTTTCCAATGAACCAGCTCTAGTGGATTTGGCATGGGAGATCTGAAATTGAATGTTATCCTGATCAGGTCCCTTACTATCAAAGGGCCTAACTGGTGGGGTGACTGTGGACAATGCTTTTCCTCAAGTCTCTCCTGGGGTGTGTGGGACCTGAAGCAGTATGCAAACACAAGCCCTGAGCCACACATCTTACAAAGTTCTGCCCAAAAATCAAGTGGGAGAATGGGTGAAAAAAATTCTCACCTAAAAAGAGCAGACTTAGCAAAACTGAAGTATGGTAGACAGAAAAAGACAAGAATCATATGTGGAATATAAAAGAAAGAAAGAAAGAAAGAAAGAAAGAAAGAAAGAAAGAAAGAAAGAAAGAAAGAAAGAAAGAAAAGGAAAGAAAAGGAAAGAAAAGAAAGAAGTAAGAAAGGACTAGGATAAACAAACAAAAAATCTCAATAACACCGCCAACAGTATAGTGGTTACCAGAGAGGAAGGTGTGTGGGGGGAGGTTGAAGAGGGTGAAGGGGGTTAAATGCGTGGTGTTGGAAGGAGACTAGATTTGAGATGAGCACATGATGCAATATATAGAAGATGTATTATAATAGTGTACACTTGAAATGCTTATATAATCTTATCAACCAGTGTCTCCCCAAATTTTTTAATTAAAAATCCTTGAAGATGGGAAAGCAAGGTCCAAACAGTGTTGTGGACCTAAAATCTATGTAGGGTTTTTCAGCAAGAGTCCACTGGTTTGGTTTTGTTGTTAGCCATGGAGCATCAACACAAATCAGCCAGACCCTAATGTACTGGGACTCCCATGAATGGGTACAGTAGGGAAAAAGGCAGCTAGAAGAATGTGTAAAAGCCAAATGCCTAAAGAAGGGATATGTGTGGGAGGCACTCCCTGGCTTTAATCAGTACCACTGGCCTCTGCTTTCATGAGTAATAAAACTCAGTTTAAAAGAAAAGAGAGATGTAAAGAAACCAGAACAGAAGCAGACACGTGGGCATGTCTACTCATACACAGACACAGACATACACAACTCTACTTAATGAAAAGAAAAAAGCAATGGCAGAACTCATTTTTCCTGTTTAGATGCCAGATTGTTTTTATTTATTTTAGGAATAAACTTACTGTGTGGCAGAAGGCTTTTGCTTTAATTAGGATTTCCTGTTGTCTCAAATACATATGTGTGGTGGGTGTGAAAGGAAATTAGTTAGTAATCTGTGGTGGACCCCTTTTTCCTTAACCACTTTTGATCCTGGTACCAATCAGCCAGGCATTAGTGGAAGTTGAAAGACAGTCACAAACTTGTGTACTTTTTATGCTACGGGTTCAACAAAATACAGCAAAAGAGAAGAAGAAATTGTTTTATTTTCTAACAGAAATAATGTCACTGTTTGGCAATAATTGTCTTTTCCTTGTGATGCTCACATCCTAAACTATTTGAAAAAGAAAGGTGAACTCTTTGGAAGAGCTCCTGGATTTTGATTCTCCCCAAAAGCTTATTGCTAAATAATCTAACATTTGGCTTTGTAATTTATTTGAAATTTCAGAAGGTATGCTCACAAAGACACCAGATAGACACACAGAGCCAAGAAGTGTTTTCACGCTACTTGAGCAAACACTTGTGCCAAGTCCATCTTCTCATGGGTCACAATTTTCTGTTATTAGTTTGGAGAAATGGGGTAGGCATGAGCAATTTCCCAAGATCCCCAAGAACTAGTTTCACCTGCATATGTCTTGGGCCCCAGTCAATAAGAATTAAGACTAACTTGGTATTTGTCATTTCCCATTGTCATTCTTACAAGATGGAAGATTTTTCCTCTCCATGGTCTAGCTGAAACAGCCAACGGTCCCTCTTTAAAGCTAGAGTGGTTTTGAGGTCAGCAGATGAAACAAGTGAGGCAACCACATTAAGGAAACTGAAACAATAGTAGAGCTGTTTCCATGGGCATAATGTGGGCATTTCAAAGTAGGAACATCAGTTACCCTGAATGTCAAGGTAGCAAGGATTGATGGAGACATGCCTGTCTTCCCATTCCTCCTAACAATCGCTAAACACACCTGTCAGTCTCTTAAAGGAAATGACAGAGTCGTTGTCTTCCAAACACTATACTAAACCTCTTCTGCTAAATTATGGGTAATGGTTTTGAGATGTTAACTTTTAACCTTAGGGATTATTTTGTCACTGCAGACTTCACTGTTGAGACTTACACCATGCATTCCAGAATTTAAAGTCACAGCACTCCCTCTAATCACAATGGAAAAGGCCTATTGGCAAAAGTCTCATGTGCCATTCAGAGACATGAAATGCTTCCTCTGTTCATGGTCTGTTTGAGAAGGACTCTCTATATTCACATGTAAATGTGAAGGGTTTGTTTAGGGAAACAATTTAACAGATGCCTTTCCTAAAGTTTCTCTCTCTGTCCATTTTTAGCTTGAATCCACCCTTTCAGGTAACCTTTGGGACATCCAAAGAAATCCTTTCTATATGTAAAAACTTGCAGAATATTGAGAGACTTCTCTAAACCCAGTGCTTCCTCCACCTATTTGGCACTCGGCTTCATTTTAGTCAGTCAGGATACAATCACTATACGTTAGATACTTGGAACTTGGAGTTACTGAAAACATTGCACTTCTGTTAGTTATCCCTTCTTTCAGGGCTTTCATGGCCAAAAGGGGATGTGACAAAAGCTTAACTTACTGTGTGGGCAGCAGCAGACAAGGGTGTCCGCTGCACTGGTGTCCTCCGATGACTGCGATTATCCCAGAGGACTATCTGGCCCGAGTACGTCCCACCAACCACCAAGTTGGGATGGAACCGAGCAAAGCAGACTGACATCACGGAGGACTGTGAAGAAAAGCAGAGAGAGGAGCACTGTGAAAGGCTTGGAGAAAGCTAGTTTCTTCCTGAAGAGAAAACAGTTCATTACATAAACTCAACACATCCTGGAAAACATAAAGGAATGATGAAGTGCAGAGCGAGTAGGACATTTTGTACACAGACTTTCCCTTGAGAGGGTGGCCAGTGGTTACCCCTTGAAACTTGAAATCTGAAGTCCTGGCCATGTCATCCAATAGGCATAAAACCTATCTGATGCACATCATTGTTCTGTGGTCTGGAAAGCTTGCTATATGGACCTCTCCCACTGACCAATAAAAGTGTGTCTGAGCTATCGATAATATTAATTCTCCATTTCACAAAGCCATCCTCTGCTTTAAGGTCATGGACACATCAAGTTATACTATGTACAATGTTGGCAAGGCTTTGAAGGCTTTCAAGATGGGGTGCCTTTTCTGTTTTTGGCTTCGTGTAGACTTCTAGGAAGCGAACTGACCTCAGGCTGATCCAACCGGTTCCTCCTCCAATTCCCTCGCCTCCCATGAGCATTCTCCTGACCTTTATCCTGCCCACTTCAGACAATTCTTAATGTTATTCTTTGCCTATTTTAACAAACAGTCAGAAACTGATTTCAGTCCAACTCTGCCATGGCCTGTCATAGCGTCGTGAATGTGGTTTTCTGAAATTCCACAAAAGACTACTGGGCACAACATTTTATAGGAAATTGCTTAGTGGAGACAGAACCATGATATACTTAAAATCAGACAAGTTGGCTTGTCCACATCAGCTCAGAAGTCCATTTTGTTTCCTGCAGCGGTTTCCATGTTTGTATTTATGTGCGGAAGTTATTGTTTTTAATAAATATATTTCATCCCTTCAATTAAATTTAATAAATGATCTTACGTGTAAGGAGGACATTGTACCAAGCATGAGGGTAATACAAAGGTAGTCACTGCACTCCATGAACTTGTGCCCTGGTAAAGGAAAAAGGCAGGCAAGCAAAGTTGTTGCTAATCCACCCGTGCCAGGCCATGCCTTTGTATGAAATGGAAAAAGGTGCCTCTGCACAGACACAGTCATGCAGGTGGTGGGTACCATGGCAAGCGGAGTAAGGTGTCATGGGACAAAAATTATAGGAGCACCTGTGTGTGATGGGGGAAGATTTGTTTTAGCTAAGAAAGAGAAGAGAGGAGAGTGGAAAGGGCAGGATGGTTAGAAAGACCTCATGGGAGGACATGTATATGAAGTATGAACATTCAACAAAGAGAGAGGAGCCCAGCCTGTATGGCTCAGTGGTTGAATGTTGACCCAGGAACCAAGAGGTTGCCAGTTTGATTCCTGGTCGGGATGCATGCCCAGGTCGTGGGCCCCATCTCCAGTAGGGGTATGCAGGAGGCAGGTAATCCATGCTTCCATCTCTCTCCCTCTCCCTTTCTCTCTCTCTCTCTCTCTCTCTCAAATCAGTAAAATATATTTAACCGCCCCCCCTCCAAAAAAAAAATGTGGAGAGGGGATTAAAAACAAAAAACAGAGATGGATAATGGGAATAAAAGATTAGAGGCACCAAAATAGAGCCTGATGAACAGCCCACAGTCTGGCCACAGTCTGGTTTGGCTGGGAAAGAGATTGCATGGAAGAGCAGGTAGTAGGAAATGTGACTGAAGAGGTCACTTGAGCCAGACAAGACAGGGCCTTGAGTGGCAGGCACTATTTGGGTGTCTTTCTGTGGACAACAGCAAGAAATCATAGCTTTCTGAGCAACAAAGAGGATCAAAGGTTGTAACTGACAAGCCAGCAAAGATGTGATTGGGAAAAAAAAAATTATGACCTCTTTCTGACTGGGAAGCTAAACACCCATTTCTAAAAAATTCGGATCTGCTACCAGCCTAAGGCTTTCTAGTCAAAAACAGTCTCAGACACTCCGAGGTAGATTAAAGAATGTGGACTATTTTTCAATGTCATGTTTTCCTAGTTTGAATGATTTTCAGTTCCAATTCCTTGAACACGTTTCAATGGAGAACATGCATGTGTGCCCCAATCTGGTTTTCATAAAGTTCAAGAATAACTCTCAATAATGATACTGAATTAAAGAAAAAGAAAATAATGCCAGTCAGCTTCTTGTTTTACACATCCCACAGAAATGATTGTTAGTTTTCAATTGATGAAATTCTTATGTTGCTCGGGCTATGTTGAAAACGTTTTCTTTAAAGCTTCAGAAAGACTTAAAATTATCCAGGTGGTACCAACAATTGAATTTACCAAAGCTCCAATCAACATGAACAAAGGAATGTCATTAAATTAGAAAAATCCAGAATTCAACCACTTGATTCCATCTAAATCAAGTGGTTAATTTCAGTTAAATCCCAGCAAATACTGCTCCAAAACTTACACAGTTTTGTTGAGTGACTAAACTAGGGAAAAATGAACAGTGCGGGTATTTCTACGAAACTGAAACACCTAGTCGGCTAATCAACTAGACTCCAACCCCACAAAGTGAGAACTCTACTTCTTACTTTTTCATTCATTCATTCGTTTACTCTTCATTCATTCATTCATCACAGTGAGTGCCCACTAAGCGCTAACCCAATCGCTTCAAAAAATTGTGAATGTCACAAAAGCCCTCATCTCAAATTCAGAATTCTACCTACATTTGATCAAATGTCAAATTAATTCTGAGGAAGAGTAACAACCCCTGGGGGCACTAAAGTTTTGCCACCAGGAGCGACTCTGTTTTACTGCAGACCAGTGTTTCCAATATCTCCATGAGGAATGGAGTGGACATATTTACTTTATAGTCGAAAGATTAGACATGGAGGAGTAGTTATGTGATTCAACATGCTCACTTATTTTTAAAGCTTAATGCATTAATTATACTAAATAGTCTATGTGTTATAGGATATAAATAAAGGCTCAAACCAGATCTCCAGGGTATGCCATGTTTGACATGCTATCATTCATATGGATATGTTAAGGCAGTATGATCTCAATTATCTAGATGTAACGTCTAGAATTCAGTCATTTCTTGAGATTTTTTTAAAGTGCCCTGATGTTTGATGTAATGGTGACAAATGTTTGGATGACTGACTAAATTTTTTATTTCTCATCGAAACATTTAGGTTCCTTTTGAACAGTCCCACAACTCAGCACTGATGGAGAACTCAGCTCCTCTTCTCATTTGGAAAGTATGCATCAACCTCCTAGGAGCAAAGTGTCTTGGAAAAAAAAACTCTTGCAACCTCTGGCTGTTCATACAGCTACCGATCTAGTTGTTGCTGCCAGTTGTCATGGAATTTATAGACTGTCAGCACAAAGAGCAAAGGATGATATTGCCCTGTCAGTTACATCCATGACTAAAGAGTAAAAAGGCATTCCAGAAAAATTGATTGACACTAAAATACGTGATTTTTGTTGTTCTCCTTTTTAACAGTTCACTTTCTGAGGCATATTCTATGAAAAGCATTAATAATATCATTTTTATACAATTTAATCACTTTCCTAGGCATTTAACATTTTGTGTTAATTTAGTTATTCAGTGTCATAATAAAGCATTATTAAATTACATGATGAATACAATTTAGACAAACAAAATCAACTGGAAATGAGAAGTTTTCCCTACCTTGTTATTCTTGGCTCTATAAAAATCTCTCTCTCTCCCTCTCTCTCTCTCTCTCTCTCTCTCTCTTTCTCTCTCTCAACTTTTTACTTGTTTTATTTTATTCTTTACAATACTAGAGTCTTAGAATTACTTTGAGAAATAATATATGGCCTTTACACATTCAAATACAGTGGTTTACCCAAGTAGAAAAATAATGATCAAGTTGACAAGAATTTTTGGATGATGCTATCTAATCAAAGCTTCATTCACTCTACATTTGGACTCTGCTTTCAGAGGGCCAGTGATTTCATTGATGTGGCCATGCTGACCATCAACTCAAGAGCCCCAAACAAATGCAAGCTCAGATGTTAAAGGCCTGATATAAAACGGATGAGCCTGATCGACTATAGTAAAACTAGTAACACCCGAGGTATAATTCCAGGACAAGTATCACATTTTGATGATTTGGATACTGTATAGTTCCTGAAATTATGACAAGCAAGGCGTAGGCAATGCTTTCAGGATCAGGTCACTAGAAATAGTGACCATTTCTGGTATCCTCTGCAGAGGTGGTGCTCCTCTTTCCCCGTATTGCACATGTCCATTTGAACACGAATCAACCCAGGAAACTGGGTTCCACACCCTCATCATCCATTTTGAGACAAGGCAGTTTATGTTACCCCATTCACTGAGGGAATGCCACTGAAAGGAGACGGGTGGAGACTTCACTCTCAATGTCTCCCTCCGCTCACTGCACACCACTGTACTCAATTGCAGTCGGCTCAACCCCTTCTTAAGTGGCTGTGGGGGCTGTTTTCTATTTTATGGAGCTAATCCAGACCAGTTTAGGGATGGTACCTCCCCTTAACCACAGACCCAGCTGCCTAGGACAAATCGCCTTTGGCCGTCGCTGGCTGGGCAGCCAGTCCCCTATGTTCCCATTTGATCTGGTTTGTCCTTCTGTGTATGGCACTCAGCCCACTCCCCAGCCATCATGCCTGGGTGAGAGCAATAGGGGTTTTGCATTCAAAAGTATCTCCTATTTCAAGTACCATCTCTTCTGGGGAGACGCTGGTCCCCGGAGAGGGAATGGCCATATTGTTGCCATATGCTGTTTAATGGTGGCTGACATTTTATTTGCCTACAAGCAAATGCCTAACTGTCAGAGGGCTCCGAGGCAGACAGATCAGATGCTTCTGGCTACTAGTGAGCCAGTATGTATTTCTGCAAGTACCTCAGGAACTCACATAGAAACACATGGAATTGGAAAACAGTGCTGTCGAAAACCTCCCTTCTAGGCAATCATGTAGCACCAGGCATCTGACTGCATGCAAGGCGTAAAGGTGCTAAAGCCAACCACAGGGGTCACAAGCTGGGCACTTAAACTTGAATGGAGATGAAGGGAAGGGTTTTG